ACACGCTAAATCGATTCATCCACTTTCGTACTGTGGTTGAAGCTTGGTACAACTGCAAATGCCCAGGGCAGGAAACGATGACTAGGTCGACGAAGGCTGAACCGTATTTCAGAATATTGAATCTGTAAGTGCTTTGTCGTAGCTGTTCACGCATACCTAGTCATTGTTGTCGTGAACAGTAGAGCAACTGACGTATTGGTATGCCAACATAAAAGAGCAGTAGGTTTTAGTCTAAAAACAGATTTGTTGTCGGTGGACACAGGGATAGGCCTCAGCCAATGCACGGATGGATCATCGGGGTGAGTAAACATGCAAATTTGGTATGCGTGAATTGTGGAGAAAGCCGCGAAATAACACGCTTTACTAAAATGGATTCAGTATAACTTAATGATTGCTCGAATCTACTTTGGAATGAGTCTGTTGTCTATTTCACAGATATGTTTTTGCTGTGCGATACCTTGTACAGAAATGTAAATTTGTCAAAATAAACGAATGTCAATCCGTGTACGGCGAAATGAATGATGCCCATAACGAAAACTGAAGAATACTTGACATATTTTATTGTTCCTCAAACAGGAGCGCTGAGTTAGAAATCGCTAATTATGTACAACAAATCAATTTAGTTTTACCTGCCAGAAATTAGGCGTTTTCTTATAATAATACACTTCATTTCAATTAATCCATGTAAAATGTGCACGCGATTAGCTGTTTTTAGCCCTTTTACGTGCTTGATTTGCAGCTTGTGTTCGTTTGCTTTGCGAAACGGCATTTTTAAACAGATTTATCGTCACACTCGCACGAAAAATCTGCTTGCACTTTTAACTAGGGTGTACAACAATCGTCACTACTGTCCTTATTGAATGCCAATGCTTATGATTGCAGAACTGAACATCCCAGTAGCGAGAATATGGCAATCGATGATATAAAGTCCTCTGCAATTGTTCTACGATTTTATGCATAAACAAGTAGGCATGTAGGCTTTTAGCAATCTCGACTTTAATTTTCAACAGCAGTCTCCACTGAAATCAGGGCGATGGGCTAAATGTTTACACAAATATGACCCTTGTGCATTACCCGTGTACTTTCGATATGTGGACGTTTGATGCAAATATCCCGATATTTACAACAACCGTTTATCAAGGTGTGAGAAATCACTTTGACACACGATTTCACCTAACACAGATACCGGTGACCGTGGACCAGGCACAAGTAGCCTGCAGCTGGATATTTAAAAAAAATCATTCTGAAATTAA